ATCACATCAAAATATTTATTTTCTCTTTATTAGATATAAATATTATAACCTTTATACAGTAGAACTTGGATATTTTGAACTTTTTTAATTTGAATATTTATCTTGGTCCCTAGAATTTCTGTTTTTAATTTGAATTTTTGGATAATTTGAATTTTTTTTTTTTTAGTCTCCCTTGGGCTTCGAATTATCCAAGTTCTCCACTGTAAAAACAAATTATTTATTGTAAGTTTCTATTTCCCCCTTATATCCACACAAATTACTACCTAGGTACTTAGCCCTTTGCTGTCTGGTACCCTGTTCCCATCAGCTGCCCAATATGATTTCATTTGAGAAAACAAAAAAAGTCATCCAGGGAAAAGTTTCTTATAAAAATAATTTAATGATAAGGCAAAATTTGGATTATTCTATATACAGTTACGAGCGTCATCTCTGTCACTGTTTGCTTTTTCTTTGTAATGGCGCTCTCCTATTGGTTGGCTACGATCACGTGGCTACGATGGCACCGCCACTACGCGAGACACTTTGTTTTTGACTTTGCCCCCTCCCCCACTCGCTTTTTGGTTTTTGTAACTATTGTGTTGGAGCGGGTCGCTCCTTAAATAAATGCATATATTAGTTAATAACTAAATAGAATCCTCTCTTTTTCCCAGTAAGAGACGCCTACGCTTTTTGGTTTTTGTAACTATTGTGTTGGAGCGGGTCGCTCCTTAAATAAATGCATATATTAGTTAATAACTAAATGGAATCCTCTCTTTCTTTTTCCCAGTAAGAGACGCCTACGGAAGCCAACAGTACATAGACAGATAAAGCACATAGGCTATAGTTATTAACTAATATATGCATTTATTTAAGGCGCCAATTTATAATTGTAACAAATAGTATTTGAATCGAAACATTCAATTGGGTAAAACACGGGCGTTGCCCGGGTCATTCGGCTAGTAGATTATAAACACAAGGTAATAAGACCAAATCCAAATAAATAAATAGTGTGTGACGTTTCAGTAACAATGTTGTTACCAAAACGTCACATCCTATTTATTTATTTGGATTTGGTCTTATTACCTTGTGTTTAAAAATAATTTAATTAACTCAAGCCTTCAGGTCTTTGAACCCTACAACAGGAATGAAAGGATTTGTGAATTAGCAGATATGACAAAATGGTTGGTGGGTGGTAGCAGTTAACCAAGCAGTTGGAGATTTTTTTTCGATTAGAAAAGCTAATAAAACTGAAACCTAATCATACTAGACATTTATAAAAAATAATTTCCATTGTTAGATACAATATTCTCCCATAATTTGGATAGTTTATGGATGTCATCATAAAAAAAAAGTTTTGGTTTCGAGGAAATCAGTTCATCAAGCCAATTTTCAACTTCTTTGAGATTCTGGAAGCCCTGATCAGCCAGCCTATGTGCCAACAACATCAAAGTAAACATCTAGAGAGCTTAAAAATAAAATATGCATAATGTTTTATATCAAGTATTACATGTGAGTAGCTAGTGTTTTAAGATACAGAAATCCATGCAAATTAAAGCAATAGGCAAAAGTTGGTTTATGCAAATTTATAATGAATTAAATAAGGAGAAGTACTCACCCAATAACAAACTCCTCAGTCTGGGCCAAGGAGAAGATAGGTTTATCTTGGTCTGGAGCACCAACACAGGACTTGTTGCCATTCTAATAATTCCCTATTAGTTGTGGGACTCACTGGGAGAGCCAAAAAACATTGTTGTGTTTCTTATCCTTTGTGTAAACAGTACACAAATTACTTGAGTTCAGTTCTCATGAAATAGGATGTAGGGGTGCAGCTTTCGTTGATCATGGTACCAAGATCCAGGCACACTTTGGTGAACTTTGGTAAACTTTGTTGAAATGTAATTATTCAACTCTATTTCATTTAGTCATATAGGATTTCTGCAAGTAGCGAACTGAACTGTCACCCTCACTCATTGTAGAAATCATCATTATGGTAAAACTTTCCAATCATTCTCCCTAAAGGACACTTTGGCTCTGCAATTAGATGTCCTTTACTGGGAAGTTCTACTGTATATACCATAAAGTGTTTTATTTCAAGCATTATTTGTAGGGAAAACATTCACTTGGGGATACCCCAGGTGAAGCAGTGTCACAATTTATAATTGTAATGAATAGTATTTGAATAAAAACAATATGCACCCGGGGATGAATGCTCTCGAGTAAAACTTGGGCATTGCCATTTGGCTAGCATTTTAATAAAAAAGAGAAGGAGTTAAAAATGATTTACCTCAAGCTTTTAAAGTGAATACTTTATTCCAACGTTTCAGCAACCTGCTGTCGCTCTTATTCAAGAAATCCTGATAAGGCACAATTTGGATTGTCGATTACAAACACAAGGTAATAAGACCTAATCCAAATAAATAAATAGTGTGTGTTACCAAAACATCACACACTATTTATTTAGATTTGGTCTTATTACCTTGTGTTCAAGGAATTATATTTTGATTATTTGATGCCAAGTTTTGAATGGTCTCTGATATATAAACATGTAGAGCACTCAGAATATCAATAATGAAACTTTAGAATACGGTATAAAAATATATTGAAGTAAATCATTTTTAACTCAATTATAGAGCCAACCTCTGCAAAATTGTGTTTTCTATGAAATGTGTTAAACTTATGTAGGTTATATAAATGCTAAAAATACCTATTTTTGCATTGAAAGAATCAATCATAACTTATCATCACATGACTGAGTCTCCGATGAGAGACCGGCGGTTGCCATGTTTTGTCTTTCATGGGAGACTCTACTGTATATGAAAAGCCAAACGACTGCCCATGTCTGCTTATGCATTAAAGCAGAACCTCCCTTTAAAGGAAATCTACTTGCAGAGATAAAGTGCCTTTTAGAGAGAGAGAGATGTCCATTTACCAGAAAGCTGGTAAAAATGGTAATTTTGGTGAACTATAGTGAGATTATAGAGGTTCTACTGTATAACAAGTTTTGTTTACTTGGATTTCTCTTAAATCTGTGTGTAATGGGCCAATGCTCTAATTCATTTGAATAACCTCTTTCATTAAACTATAATATCTATGTTACGATGCACTAGCGCGCCATCTGTTATCAAATTACAAAACTATTTTAGAGGCGTAATATTCTTTTTAAAATAAAACAATTTCTACTGTCCTTACTGCGATGGAAAAATTAAAGGGAGGGCCTGGCTCATCAGTGGTGAACCCTCCCAGCGGTTTCGCCAGTTTAATCTACCATACCGCTGATATTTGTGGAAGAGCGATTGCTCGAAGCATATTATATATTTATAATTATATTTAATTCTGCTGTCCTAAAAGCTTATGCCCATAGTTCTTCTAAAATACCCATTCCAAGAGTCTTACAACAGTCAACTATAAAGGAAGTTCCAAAAATGCAATATAATGTGGTATGGTAGATTAAACTGGCGAAACCGCTGGGAGGGTTCACCACTGATGAGCCAGGCCCTCCCTTTAATTTTTCCATTGCAGTAAGGACAGTAGAAATTGTTTTATTTTAAAAAGAATATTACGCCTCTGAAATAGTTTTGTAATATAATATTTATTTTCAATCCCATCTTTAGCAAAAGTATTTATTGAACCAGTCCAGTGTTTATACCACAGGCCTAGAGAGGGCTCTCAGGAAGAATGCACATCCACACACCAGTCAGTTTTCAATCTTTGCACCATTTCTTCCAGTATCTGGTAGTACGTGTGAAAACACACATCTTGACCTGTACCAACCCTTTTTGATATTATATACCTGCCAGCTTGTTCACTTACCCTGAGAGGAGAAGGTAAAAGTGGGGTAGTAGCGGTTGAGATCCACAGTGTCATCAGAGTTAAGGAACCTGGGAACACTGGGCCACACAACAACTATGTCAGAGAGGTGTCTGAAGATGGTAACAACGTGTTTACCGAAACATCACACACTATTTATATATTTGTATTTGGTCTTATTACCTTGTGTCCCTAAAGGTCCTAAATGGAGGACCATGGGTTGAGAGTGATGACAATCAATGCTGTCTTTTTTTGCTTATCCCTAGTATACGTGGTACAGGCCATGATAATCATGGTAGGTAGTTAGCGACTGCTTTTACTGTAAGCGCACCACATGTCTACACATGTGAAAAGCAGTTTGACTTTGCACTTACAAATGTGCCAGAGCCCCGTTTGGTTACTTGCAGTCGCTGGTGGGGTTGGACTTTTGCAAGAATCGGGGGCCATTGGAGCATTTTTTTTTTTAACAGAAAAAAGTGTCCAATGCGGGAATCGAACCCGGGTCCTAGTGGTCGAAAACCAAACGGTTTAACCAGACTTCCACCGACCCCCCTCTATTTCAGATAAGTGGCCACACAATTGCCTTGGTTGGAAAGAGTTTTCCTTCTCCTAGATATCTTTTCTGACTAAGGAGCTCCACATCCTTAGCTTTAGTCTTAGGTTTTAGATGGCCAAATCAAAGGATGTTCTTGAAACAACACCCCTGTGGCATGAATTTAGTGTAGAATTCTTATCTATTCTTTTGCCACCAAAAATATTTGTGATAAATTGTTGCCGATAACTCAACTGTTCTTAATGGTGGCAGTTAGCTTTCAGATCTGACTGGGTAAACCCTATTCGCCATCTTATATCCACTTTTAAATAGGGAACACAGTGGCAAGGACATGACCATTTTGTTCCACAGCCTAATTATTACTAACATTTTCAAGGATATAGATAGAGAAGACATTTCTGGAAAATAGTTTTTTTTTTATTTATTATCCCTAGTACACATAGTACAGGCCATGATAATCATGGTGGGTAGAAGTTGGCAACTGCTTTTAGTGTAAGTGCGCCAAAGGTCTACACATGTGAAAAGCAGTAAAATAAAAGGTAAGAGCCTACAGCTACACCCGGTGTTCCCAGATGGTCACTCTCCCAAGTACTGACCGACATAACTTCGGTGATCGGAAGAAAATCAATGTTTTCAATGTGGAATGGCTGTAGGCTATAAATTTCGAAACCTGGGATCGAACCAGGGACCTTTAGATCTTCAGTCTCTCTCAACTGAGCTATTTCGGCTCCTGTGGGAAATAGTGAATTCTCCAAGTGATCACTGTTTAGTTATCAGAAACAGGAAAGGGAGCATTACATATCTTATAGCCATCTTCTGGGGAGAATCTACTGAATAATGTACTTGGACATTTTGATGAGTATACACCAACACAAGTACACAACAGTGGGCACAGAAAAAGTACAATGCAGATACACATCTTCCACTCTACTAAATGTTGAATGATCTGCAGCCAATCTGAAAGTTTACACCTTATGTATTTGGATGTCAGTTCAGGGGTTACAACCAACCTAGAGGAGCCTTTAAGCAGATTGGAGAGATGGGTTCTTTGACTGCAATGTCATGCTTGCTAACAAAACTGGAAAGACTCCTACAGATTGTTTTCTTTGATGAATATTCTTGACAACCTTTTAGAACATTAGAGATAAACTGAAACAAGGATCCATATAATTTGAAATTTCTTTTTTTTTTTTGCTTATCCCTAGTACACGTGGTACAGGCCATGATAATCATGGTGGGTAGTTAGCGACTGCTTTTTTACTGTAAGTGCACCACATGTCTACACATGTGAAAGCAGTTCGACTTTGCACTTACAAATGTGCCAGAGCCCCGTTTGGTTACTTGCACTCGCTGGTGGGGTTGGACTTTTGCAAGAATCGGGGGGGCCATTGGAGCATTTTTTTTTTTAAACATAAAAAGTGTCCAATGCGGGAATCGAACCCGGGTCGTAGTGGTCGAAAAACAAACGGTTTAACCAGCCTTCCACCGACCCCCCTTGAAATTTCTTGACAAATTAGCAGACCATTCTTGCCAGGAAACAGTTTGATAATGGAATTGTTCCAAAGGATTCTGAGCGGCTCATACAACTTCTGCTACTGATCATTCCAAAACAACTGAGAGCTGACATAGGAGATGAACCACACATCTTGGTATTGTTAAAAGTTAGGATGGGAGAAGTTAGCCCAGGCTGTAATGAAGTGTTATAGAATACCTTTGTCCCACCCAATGTCTACCAGTTCAAAAGATAGGTGTAGATTTACCCGGCCAACTTTTTAGTATCATACTACAAGAACTTAAAACAGACAATATATAATAAATAATAAATAGAAATACAGGCAAAGTCAGACTTTCACCAAAGTGTGCCTGGATCCTAGTGGCATGATCAACGAAAGCTGCACCTCTACACCCCATTCCATGAGGTTCGAGGAGCATGAACTCATGGAATTTGTGCAACCATTACACAAGGGGATAAGAAACAACAACAGAATTTAATAATAGTCTGAACAGATATTTTTTGAAAGACAATAAGGAAAACACAAGGTAATAAGACCAAATCCAAATAAATAAATAGTGTGTGATGTTTCGGTAGCAGTATTGTTACCATCTTCAGACAAGAGTAATTCATTCAGTACTTTTGTCTGAAGATGGTAAAAACGCTGTTACTGAAACATCACACACTATTTATTTATTTGGATTTGGTCTTTTTACCTTGTGTTTATAATCTACTAGACGGGTGATAATCCAAATTGTGCCTTATTGAAATGAGGAAAAGTTTGACAAATATTGAGAAGCTCAGAAAGTGACAAAATTCTTCATGAAAAAAGAAAACCTGGTCCACAGACGCCCTCTGGAAACTGTGATGGGTCAGAGCTGCCTGTCGAGGCTTATCCACACGAGAATTGGCCCAAGCCACTGGCATTACAGAAATTTGCCTATTCCTCATTATGTAAACAAATTATACAAAATCCAGCCAGCTCTTTACATATGGAAGTCTTACAATTGTCTCAAAATTAACACTTTCTACAAATATATGGTGTCCTCATAAAATTAGGGTTGACTTCCAGGCCATGTGATTTACAAATGCTGGTTACTTATTGGTGCTAATATGCTAAATATAATAATAAATATAGATTTTTATATACAGTAGAGTCTCTCATGAGCGACTCATCCCATGAGCAACCACATTGTAAGGCACAAACGAATTTCCCCCAGTTTTACTACTATAGTGAATATCCCATGAGCGACCGTCTCCTTGAACGACCAGCGACCACTAAAAATCAATTCTCTGTCTCTCATGAGCGACCATTAAAAATAAAAATTACTATTTCATGTATTAAAAAAATAATAAATTCGAAATTATTCATTGAAAAATTGTTGTGAAATTTTATGCGACACATTTATTGAGCTCTTTGAACAAATAACTATACATTTTATTCTTTTAGAATTTTTAAAAAGTTTCTGAATATAATAGTAAGTTTAAGTTTTCACTTTATTTTAAAATATCTTAACTATAAATAATGCCTCCTAAAAAAATTTGAATCTTAAACGGAAAATGAATGTTTTAAAAATGGCGTCATATGGAGTTGGCGCTCGAAAATCACCGGCCGATATGCTGATATGCGATTCAAAATATTTCCAATATTTTTTATTACTAAAAATACAATACTTTGGCATGCGAGACACAGTTAGTGTATGTGCACTGTGCTTAGAAGTGTTAAAATAATGTAACAAATATTGGTGCAATGATTTGTTTATTCAACAATTTACCTTAAGCTGTCGCTAGTCACTGTGACTTTTAAGAGTAAAATAGTCTTTCTTTGTTTACTAAATTTATAATATTTCTTCCCATTTCATTTATTCACTTAGATTCAAATAGTAATTTTTCCTTTGTCCACTGATGAGCCAAGCCCTCTCAATAAATAACTTTTATCATTGCATTAAGATCTGTAGATATAAACACATTGCCAAAAATTGTTTAAATGTATTAATGCAATTTTATACATTGTTAAAAGTTGATCATGAAACATTCAGAAAATTAAAGGAGTTTGACTGATAAAGCACAATTTGGATTATAGCTACAAGAAAATAAGACCTAATACAAATAAATAAATAGTGTATGACATTTTGGTTACAAGGCTGTTACCGAAACGTCACTCACTATTAATTTATGTGATTAAGCCCTTTTTCTTGTAGGAGTTAGACTGCTTTTTAAAATGACAAATTGGGTATAGTTCTTTGTTCAAAAGCGCTCTATGAGTGCATCGCAAAATATTTTAAAACAAATTTTCATTTAATATTTGGGACTCAATATACGGTAGAACCTCCATGAGAGTACACTCGTGCTAGAGGACACCTCTCCACAAAGGACAGTTTTCATTGTCAAAATTACCTGTTTTTACTATTTAGCAACTTCCAGTTAGAGGACAGCTTGGCTCTGCAATTAGGAGTTGTCCTTTACAGGGAGGTTCTACTGTAACTTTTATTTTCAATAGTCTCATGAGAGACAAAAAGTGGTTGTTCTCAGAGATTGTATGGTTGTCATAGTAGAATTACAATGGAAAGTTCGTTTGTTTTTAAGAGTGGTCGCTCATAGAAGGCTATACTATATTTCCAGCTAGAATGACATCATGGTAGCTAATTTTCCCTCCTTTTAATCATTCTATACTTTTTTTTTAATTCTTATTTATGAAGGTGGTTTCAAGTCAAAAATTATGCTATCTAAAATAATAATTTGTAAAGTTATTTTTTAAGCACACACATTCATCATTCAGAAAATATTTTAAATGAGAGAATTTTTTTTTTTTTATTTCATTAGCTGTCTGTTTATGTGGTTGGTGGTATTGTTATGTTTAAAATTTTCAACACATAATTTGAATACCAATTTTATTGTTCTAAATGTCTCGTTACTTTCATATTGTATCTTTCGGGTATCAATAAACTATTTCATATAAAAGGAAACCAATAGTATTATAAACATTTACCTACCTAAATATACCGATTTGACCAAAGCTATTCGAAACTACTAAATATTTTTCACAGTGTGAAAATAGTTGATCATATATTGTCATATAATGTCGTTTAAGCTTCTCTCGTTGAGAATCAATTTGTGAGGGATTCTTCATTATGAATAATTAATTTATAATATTAAATGTACATATATAGAAAACAACAGGTAATATTTTCAAATTTCAACAGTGTAAACAATTGAATGTAGTCAAAATCTACCAAAGTTTTTTTTTTTTATGTATCTTTAAATCCTGGATTTAAAAATGCATTCAGAAAAAATATATTATTCATAGCTTTTACCTGAAAGAATTTTTTTTGCATTCTTTTTGCGCGCATGTATTGGGATAAACACTAATAATGTAAACAATGTAACATGAACATCTTTATATGATTAAATAACCACTTAGAGCATTTCCTTTTAAACACAAGCTAATAAGACCAAATCCAAATTAATAAATAGTGTGTGACGTTTCGGTAACAGCGTTGTTATCATCTTCAGACAAAAGTGATGATTCAAAAATTACTCAGCACTTTTGTCTGAAGATGATAACAACGCTGTTACAGAAACGTCACACACTATTTATTTAATTGGATTTGGTCTTATTAACTTGTGTTTATAATCTATAATCCAAATTGTGCCTTATCAGCATTTATTTTTCTTTAGTTCCAACATTTCAGTGACCCGCTGTCACCTTTTAATAAAAATATGGCTGAGTCACTTATAAGGGATCTATTGATAATTGGTGTCACTGATTGAAAAAAAAATGTGAAAAAGAAACTTTTACAGGATCCCAATATTAACTCTAGCTAAAGAAATTAGCGCGCTACTGCTATAGAGATTTCTGATATACAAATTTTCAAAGCAAGGTATTGATCATGAGAATGTTAATATGGTTAATAGACATAAGTCAAATAATTTCTACAGCACAATTATTTGTAGTTAAGCAACAAATGAAATATGTGGAAAAATAAATGGTGTGGACGAGAACACGTTGATGGTGAATGTCCCGCTAACGATGTTCAAACTCCCATTGAATGAATCATTATGCTAAAGTTTAATAATTTTTATATTTAATTTATTTTTATTATTTTTTAGAGATACTTTTTTATTTTTTTCACTGAGAGAGAGAAGGAGGATGATAGCCTTGGGGGAAGGGGGGCGAGTCCAGAAACACTGGGGGAAAAGAAGCGGGATATTTACATTAGTAGGAGTTAGATTAGT